TTAAGCCAAGAAAATTATTAATGTGGAAGAAATAAGTAACTTAAAGCTCTATAAACTTTTAAAGTCTTCGAAATATTATATAAAATTTCGAAAGCTTTTCAAACTAGGAATATTAACAATAGAAAATGCTTAAAGATTTATGCAATAATTGTTTTTGAGGTTAGACATTAAAAAATGTTAAAATGGTATTGGAAATAGTACTGTATTTTATGATCTAGAATATTAAGATAAAACACAAGGCATGATTAAGAATTTTTGAGAAAAAAAATTAATTGAAGGTTAGCAGAATTATGATGAACTGTCAATTAAAATCTTCAGAAAATTCTAGTGCTCTGAAAATGACATGAGCAATACCAAATTTGTATCTGAACTATAAGAATTTGATCAATCAAGATAATTCTATGTAAAATTAAAAATAATTCATAATTGAATTGAGAATCTAAAAATTTTTTTTTCAAATCACTGATAGAATTATAAAGAAATTTTGTCTTAAAATATTGATTTTGGAGTTAATTTTTCAATCATTTTTCAGGTAGAATTTTTAGTAATTGGATTCCCTAATCTATTAATTTTTAATTAATGATAAATCCTCTTATTAAGTAAGAGAAGAAAAAAATAAAATTAAAATGATTGCAATTCAAGATATAAATATCAACTCAACAATTTTAAAGGAATTGCAATTATTTACATCAATTTTGAGAAGAGAATTTTAACAATCTTCTAATAAGAACAAGAGATCCTTTTGAAAAGGGTCTTAAGTGTACTTTTGTTATAGCAGAATGCCAAATAGATCTATGTTACTTTAATGTAGAATCAGTTTAGAATATAATAAATATGATAGTAATATCTAAAGAGTTGTAGATAAAAAATATATCTATACTAAAGTATGTATTTGGATTATTCATAGATTGTAATGAAATAAATTGAAGAGATTCGTACTAAAAAAATATAATTCCTAATTTATTTATTTTTGCAAATGTAATATTCCTTAGGAATTCAAACGAGTTCCATAGATATCGCATTAATAATGATATTACTCAAAATAGTGGATGGATAATTAAGTTGGAAAGATATTATAGTAAAGATGGTTAGTCTGATAATGTGAAAAACAATTGAAGCTTTTTTCTATTATATGCTTTAAAAAGCAGATTCTAGGATATTCAAATTTATTATCAAAAATATTCGGATCCCACTAATTTCTTGAAGATATGCTAATTAATTGCAAATAATAATAATTGATTTTCTTAAGAAAGGAAATCCTTATGTTGAATATATTATGATGCTAATTGTTAATTAAAGCTAAACAGCTAGTTTATAGAAGTAGTATACTCATTTATGCTTAATTGTATCATTAGTTCCCTGTTTAAAAATAAAACAGAAGTATAAGAAATATAAGTGTACATATTTATTTATTTATTTTTTAAAATATCTTTATGCCTTTTGAACAGCTATGCTTCTGAAACTACAGGGAGCGAAAATATTTTTATTTCAATTTTTTTTGAATATTCTTTAGAGGAAGAAATTCCACTCATAATAAATTACTATCTCATTAGATTTTAGATATTTACTTCAGTTACTATTAAAGAATATCAAAAATATGATTCTGTTACTATACTTAAGATTAAAGATCTTAGATTTGATACAAGATTTGGAGTCAACTATAAGAAATTATTTGATATTAGTTAATAAATTTATTAATTAATCATTAATTTGTATAAAAATGAAAAAGAAATCCACCCATCTTAATTTAACCTAATAAACTATATAGTAAATTGATAATTTGAGTCATTAACATAAGTTATATAAATTCATTAATTTATATTCTATTCAATTCAAAGTTAAAACATTAATAATTTTCCTTATGCTATTAATAATAATAAGTTATTATAACAATTAAATATAACATCTTAGCCTTTATTACTAATTTTATAGATAGCTTAAATAATTGAAAAACAAGGATAGTAACAATATATTAATTATAAAGTTATTGCTTTTTTGTGGAAAATAATAATAAATTCTAAATTAAGAAACTAACACTAGTATTTTAAAAGTTTCCTAGTTTGAATTAATTATTAATGATGATCATACATATATATCTAAACTTAAGGAATAAATATTAATTTGTAATTGAAATGTATGCCATCATATCAGATTAGCATTTTGATCTTTAAAAGTATTCTCTAACTAACCATAAGCCTTTTGAAAGAAATTCTAATTAAGTTCATTCGAATATTTAATGCTAATTTTGCTTTAAATCCAAATTGCAGGCAACTTTACTAAAAATCTAAAAAGTTATAAACTTTACTGCTAATTAATATTCTACCTTTGAGTTCCCAAAGTATTTAGACTATTGATTGTATTTTTTCTGTATTTCCTTAACTTCTGTCAGTTCATATTGATAGATGCTTCGACTAATTTTGCATAATTATAGGCTTAATAGTTACCATTCATATAAATAATCAAAAGCCTCTGGTTTTGAATTTAATTTAAGTATTATTTCTAAATTTTCATAACTGATTAAATTATTTTATTTTTATTTGAGAATAAATTTGTTTAGTTATCACTGTATTTATCTTTTAAATGCCCCTACTTTTTATTGTATTAATTTATTCTGAATTAATTAGTAATAATACTTTTTGTACTTTGTTTGTGATAACTAGAAATAATTGAAAAAAAACTTTTTTACCCATATATTTTTTTAAGTAATTGTGTAAAATGGTAGATTATATACCTTTTAAGAATAGACGTTTTATTAGTTGATTATTTCTATAAGAAACTTTTTAATAAAAAGTAAAATTTACAAAGCAAACATCTCAAATAGTTATTTAAAATTAATAAAAGCAAAAAATTATTATTTATCAATTTTTCTCACATGAACTAAAAAAATCTCGAATTTATTAATATATTTAATGTTAATTTATTTCTATTAGATAATTATATGAATAGATATTAAAGATATATAATAATAAAAGTAAATCGATTAAAAAATGGTAGTTTTAGAATTAGAGTTTAATGAATAAAATAAATCTGCATAACTTAAAATTTAGGTTTAATCATATAGAGGTTTAAATTACAAAGTCTATTTTTGTTAATAATTATAACCACCATTTTAATTCGTATATGAATTAATTTTTTAGATAAAAATAAAACATATTATTAATTAAGGGGGTGAATTTTTTCATAATATATATGAAAAAAAAGTATTAGAAAATGCATTTAATATTTATGTCTGCATCTGATGCTACTGCATTTCTTAATAGAGGTAAATCATCTAGTTATATAATTAGGAAATGTATTTTATGAAAAGGGAGAATATGTAAAAGCACTCCAAGACTACAACATGGCCATCCAATTAAATCCAAATTATGCTAATGCGTATATAAATAGAGGTAAACCATCTAGTCATATAATTAGGAATTGTATTTGATATTAAAGGAGAAAATGAAAAAGCACTTCAAGACTACAACATGGCCATCAAATTAAATCCAAATTATGCTGAAGCGTATACGAACAGAGGTAAATCATCTAGTCATATAATTAGGAGTTCTATTTGATAAAACAGGAGAAAATGAAAAAGCGCTTCAAGACTATAACATGGCCATCCAATTAAATCCAAATGATGCAGATGTGTATATAAACAGAGGTAAATCATCTAGTCATATAATTAGGACTTCTATATGATAAAACAGGAGAAAATGAAAAAGCACTTCAAGACTATAACATGGCCATCCAATTAAATCCAAATGATGCAGATGTGCATATATACAGAGGTAAATCATCTAGTCATATAATTAGGACTTCTATTTAATAAAACAGGAGAAAATGAAATAGCACTCCAAGACTACAACATGGCCATCAAATTAAATCCAAATGATGCTAAAGCGTATACGAACAGAGGTAAATCATCTAGTCATATAATTAGGAGTTCTATTTGATAATTAAGGAGAAAATGAAAAGCACTCCAAGACTACAACATGGCCATCCAATTAAATCCAAATTATGCAAATGCATATTACAACAGAGGTAAACGATCTATTCATATAATTAGGAGTTCTATTTGGTCAAAAAGTAGAATATGAAAAAGCACTCCAAGACTAAAACATGGCCATCCTATTAAATCCAAATTTTGCAAATGCATATTACAACAGAGGTAAATCATCTAGTCATATAATTAGGAGTTCTATTTGATAAAACAGGAGAAAATGAAAAAGCACTTCAAGACTATAACATGGCCATCCAATTAAATCCAAATGATGCAGATGTGTATATAAACAGAGGTAAATCATCTAGTCATATAATTAGGAGTTCTATTTGATAAAACAGGAGAAAATGAAAAAGCACTCCAAGACTACAACATGGCCATCCAATTAAATCCAAATTATGCTAATGCGTATATGAACAGAGGTAAATCATCTAGTCATATAATTAGGAGTTCTATTTGATAAAACAGGAGAAAATGAAATAGCACTCCAAGACTACAACATGGCCATCCAATTAAATCCAAATTATGCTAATGCGTATATGAACAGAGGTAAATCATCTAGTCATATAATTAGGAGTTCTATTTGATAAAACAGGAGAAAATGAAATAGCACTCCAAGACTACAACATGGCCATCCAATTAAATCCAAATTATGCTA